CCTACCCCACTCCCTCCCTCCTCCCCAGGTCTTCCCCACACTAATGTTTGTCCATGGACTATGCATATATGCATATAAGTTCTTTGTTTAGTCTCTTCCCGTTCTCCCCTCCTCTTCTGAAATACGTCATCTTGCAAACCTGATATAGTACCCATTAAACAATTCCCCATTTCTCCTTCTTCCCTGCACCTTATAAGCAAAAGTCTACATTTTCTTTTTATGAATTTGGCTATACTAGATAACTCATATAAGTAGAATCATAAAGTATTTTTATTTTTGTCACTGACTCATTTAATTTGGCATAATGTCCTCAAGGTTCATCCATGTTATACATGTGGAAGTATTTTCTTCTTTTGTAGGACTGGATAACATTCCACTTTGTGTGTGTGTGTGTGTGTGTGTGTGTGTGTGTGTGTGTTACATTTTATTTATTGATTCATCTGTTGACGGACACTTGAGTTGCTTCTACCTTTTGACTACTGTGAATAATGCTGCTATGAACATAGGTGTACAAATATCCATTTGAGTCCCTGCTTTTAATTCTTTTGGATATATACCCAGAAGTGAGATTGCTGGATTATATAGTAACTAGAGACCCAGTGCACAGATTCGTACACCAGTGGGGTCCCTCGGCCTGGCCTGTGAGGATCTGGCTGAAATTGGCTCTCCAACATCCCCTGAGGGGTCCCAGATTGTGAGAGGGTGCAGGCCAGGCTGAGGGACCCCACTGGTGCATGATCAGGGCCGGGGCGGAACCACAGAAGGGCTCCAGGGTGTGTACGGCCCATCTTGCCCAGTCCCCATCGGCTGGACTCCTACCGGTTGGAGCATCTGCCTCCTGGTGGTCAGTGTGTGTCATAGAGACTGGTCAAATGGTCAAATGAACAGTCAGACACTTAGCATATTGGGCTTTTATTATATAGGATGATATAGTAATGGGATTTGATTTTTGAAGTAGAAAAAAAATTTTTTGTTTATTGAAAATTTAATTTTTTGAGCACTACATTTCTTTAATATTTTTTATTGATTTCAGAAAGGAAGGAAGAGGGGGAGAGAGAGATAGAAACATCAATAATGAGAGAGAATTACTGATTGGATACCTCCTGCACACCCGCTACTGAGGATCGAGCAGGCAACCAGGCATGTGCCCTTGACTGGAATCGAACCCAAGACCCTTTAGTTCGCAGGCCAACGCTCTATCCACTGAGCCAAACCGGCTAGGGCTGAGCACTGCATTCTTTAAAAGGCTGCCCATATCTTTTCCCTTCTTTTTCTCATCATGACATGGATCCACTTTATAGAGTTTTTGAAAACCAAGTATGATAATTGATTAAAAAGCATTTTTGTAAAGTGTGTAATAATATTTAAAATATTTCTGTTATCTTTTGCAGCTACAAAAATTTTATAGCTAACATCTAGATATTTATCCTCCAAAATTTACATTTCCATACTATTTAAATAAAGCTTCCCATTTGTTTTCCACCAGCATTTATGTAACACTGAATCTTCTGTGTTACAGTTTTATCAGGCTAACTATAGCCTGAGCAGATTTAATAATTAAAGTTTTCAGAATATCATTTACAAGAGACCCAAACAGCCCATGACATGTGGTAATTTGTAATAAGGTTGTTTTGAGAATTAAGTGAGGATACTTTATAAGTAACTTGCATGAATATGGACAATGTGCTGAGTCTGTGGGTGGGAGTTAGCCACTGAACCTTGCAGTCCACACGGCACCCACATGTCAATCAAGAATCTTGAATAGGTCTAGAAAATGTCAATATTCTGTTTTATTTGTATAAACACACCTCTGAAGAATACTCATTTACATTTTTAAGGAAAAAATATTCTTCCTACAACTATGAAAAGCACATTATAATTAAAGTTTTCAGAATATCATTTACAAGAGACCCAAACAGCCCATGACATGTGCTAATTTGTAATAAGGTTGTTTTGAGAATTAAGTGAGGATACTTTATAAGTAACTTGCATGAATATGGACAATGTGCTGAGTCTATGGGTGGAAGTTACCCACTGAACCTTGCAGTCCACAGGGCACCCACATGTCAATCAAGAATCTTGAATAGGTCCTAGAAAATGTCAATATTCTGTTTTATTTGTATAAACACACCTCTGAAGAATACTCATTTACATTTTTAAGGAAAAAATATTCTTCCTACAACTATGAAAAGCACATTTAAATATGTTCAAAAATATATGATTCACTTTCCTGTCCTGCCATGTACTAGATGAATGTGTAAAATATGCTGTTTCTTGTGCATAATTACTTTTTGCCCACCCTTTACATTTGCTCTACAGTGGAGGGTAAATTTGTAAAATAAATGCAACTTCTTAGAAAATTGTGTTAAGACAACTGGGTAGCAATAATAACATTTTTTAAGTTAGAATTCTAACTTAAGTCATTACACTAAAATAAACTCCCGGAGGGCTCCAGCCAAGATGGCAGCGTAGTACTCGCCTCCTCCCACAACCACGTCAAAACTACAACTAAACTACAGAACAACCATCATTCAGAACTGCCTGAAATCGAGCTAAATGGAAGTCTTGATTGCTATTGGCCCATTTGTGTGTGGAGTCGACCCTCAGGCTTGCTGACTGAGATCAACCCCATCCACAGTGTAGGAGTTGCTGTGCAGGTGCTGGCCACACAAAGCAGCATGTTTTCACACCTGGCACACCAGGGCCACACAACGCCTCAACAATTGGTGTTGGTGTGTCAGGTGTGAAAACATACACCTGGCCTGAGCATGTTCTAGAGCAGTGATGGCGAACCTTTTGAGCTCGGCATGTCAGCATTTTGAAAAACCCTAACTTAACTCTGGTGCCGTGTCACATATAGAAATTATTTGATATTTGCAACCATAGTAAAACAAAGACTTATATTTTTGATATTTATTTTATATATTTCAATGCCATTTAACAAAGAAAAATCAACCAAAAAAATGAGTTCGCGTGTCACCTCTGACACGCGTGTCATAGGTTCGCCATCACTGTTCTAGAGCCTGTCAAGATCTCCCTTTGAATATGCCACTTGTGAAGCTAATTGGGTCCTGCTTTGATGTTGTCTAAAGCTGGCCACTGGGAGTGTTGGTTCTGGAGTTTCTCTGGAGGGAGTCTGATTTGGGCTAATGTCAGACGCTGCTTGTCACTAGACCTACGCAATTCCTTTGGCGCAGTCTCGATATGGCTTTTTCTTGGTAATCCTTGGTTGTAAGACTTCTGTTCAGCTAATCTTCAGTTGGTTATTCAGGTTAATTTTTCTACATTTTAGTTATAAATCCAGTTTGGTCCTGGGAGGTGGTGAGTGTAATATCCACCTAGTCTGCTGCCACCTTGGATCTCCTGCCCATAACTTTTCTTGATGATTCGAACTTGTCCTAACAAACATGCATCACCGTACTAAGTGGCAATGTCATTCTCTGTTTCTTTTCTCAAGGTCAAGCTGTCATTCTTCAGTCACTATTTTACCTGTCTCTAAAAACTGTCTGCTCCACCTATGCTATTTTGCTTCCAATTATTTTTAGAGAGAGTGGGAGGGAGGAGGAGAAACAGAGAGAAACATCGATGTTAGAGAGACACATCGATTGGTTGCTTCCTGCACAACTGAGGTGTGTGCCCTTGATCAGAATCAAACTCAGGACCCGTAAGTCCCCAGGCCGACTTTCTATCCACTAAGCCAAACTAGCTAGGGCCAGAATCTTTTTAGTAACTTCCAGGAAAAGAAAATAAGTAAGGAAGTATTAACACTGAACTGATGTGAAGAGGACTTTGTGTATCTAATTCATCCACCTAAAATTTTCATGTCTTACTGTGAGCTTAGGTAATAAGCATCACAATCTTTCTGTTTTCCTACAAGGTAACAGAAAGGGAGTTAAAATCTGGAGGAGCCAACACCCAGGTGACGGAAAAGAACAAGAAGGAGTACATCGAGAGGATGGTGAAGTGGCGGGTGGAACGTGGTGTGGTGCAGCAGACAGAGGCCCTGGTGCGGGGCTTTTATGAGGTAAGGCCCAGGCCTGACTGAAGAAGGCAGGGCTTTGGCCAAAGCCTTCACCACTGGACACAGCTGGTGAGGCAAAGGGAGAAGAAAGAACCAAGGCAGACAAAGGGCTCAGCTCTACTCACCAGAGTGCAAGGTGGATCAATGAGAGGTCAAGTTCCCTGGGACACCCAACTCTTCTGGTAGATTAAAAAATGCTCTCACAAAATTGGTGTTGGTGTGGCCCTGGTGTGCCAGGTGTGAAAACATGCAACATCTCCTGTCAAGATATGTGCATGTTGCACTTCCTTTCATTCAATGAAATTAAGATAAAAGAAGTGAAGTCGTTGGCAGGCACTGTCCACTCTGGCTAGATTTCTACTTTGTTTCAGTGCCACTTTGTGTCATATAATGAATGCCAAGGTTGTAAATCAAGGGGACAATGACAGCTGCTAGCCTTTCTGTGCACCAAAAATTGGCATCCTCAAACTTTTCCAGTTTAAAAACAAGAGGCTGTCAATGTTTTTTCAGGGCTTGAGTCTTCTTTCCCCGCCATAGTGAAGTACAGTATGGGTCACTGGCTCACCCACCACTGGTTTGGTTAAAGCTGGTACCCACTATAGATGTTCAATTGTGCCTGGTACATATGACCAGGAGACAGAAAGCCAGAGTTCAGAACCCTAACAAAGCAGGTGCTCCCAGATCTTTGAATAAGGGAGAACGGAAGTGAAGGGGAAAAGGAAAAAAATATATATAATGCTCTTAGTGCTCGTTCCTAGGAAATAAGTTATAGTTTGATGTGGAAGAGAAGATACTTTTTAAGTGAAGTGGTAATACTAATAGCTATTGAGTCACTTCAAAGTGATTTAGACCTTTATGTCTTTAAAATGCAAATTTACTTGAAAATTTAAATGTGACTAGGAAAGTCAAGTCAGGTTTGTTCATAACATCATTGGGGTGGGGCAGTATCAGAGGTAGTGAAAAGCATGGGGCCTTTTTAAAATATATATATTTTTTTATTGATTTCAGAGAGGGAGAGAGAGAAAGAAACATCAATGAATCATTGATGGACTGCCTCCTGCATTCCCCACACTGGGGATCGAGCCTGCAACCTGGGCATATGCCCAAGCTGGGAATCAAACCATGATCTCTTGGTTCATAGGTCAAGGCTCAACCACTGAGCCACGCCAACCGGGCGGGCCAACATGGGGCCTGTTTTGATTCCCAGCTTATGAATGGTTTGTATTTCAAAATGTGTAAGTCACAATAATAGCACATTGAAAAAAAAGTTGTAAATGATGATCAGTTTCCCAGCTTAAACCACAGAAATAATAATAATGAATAGAACTTTCAATGTGGTTGGACCTGTACACTGAAGCCTAATCTGTATTTCAGGTCATAGACTCTAGGCTTGTCTCCGTGTTCGATGCCAGGGAACTGGAGCTGGTGATAGCGGGCACAGCAGAAATCGACCTAAATGACTGGCGGAATAACACCGAGTACCGGGGAGGTGAGCTGGCAGGGCTTGCGGTGATACAGCTATCACAGATACAAGTCATCAGTTTTTTAAAAATTTTTGAGGTGAAATTGACATAATAAATTCACCATTTTAAAGTAAGCAATGCAGTGGTATTTACAATGTTCACAATGTTGCTCAACCATCACTTTTAGCTAGTTCCAAAACATTTCCATTATCCCAAAAGGAAACCTGTACTCATTAAGCAGTTGCTCCCCATTTTTCACCGACCCTGGCAACCATCAATGTGCATTCTGTATCTATGATTTTACCTATTCTGAATATTTTACATAAATAGTCATTTTTGTAAATAGGTCTTTTTGTGGATATATATATCGCATATATATTTATAATATAAATATAAAGGAATACATATATCTATGTATGTCATTACTTTTTGAAGACTACAAAAACTTGCTCCTACTTTAATACATGTGTACTCATTCAGGTTCTTCTATATGCCTTCCTCCATCTTCCAACCTGAACCTTCCTCAGCTGACAGTAATCCCCGTGGTCGTCTCTGGCCTAACTCAGAGCAGATTCATCAGGGGATACCATCATCCATGAGCCAGCTCCTGAGCTGGGTTGCATGCTGGCAGGGAATTGTGTCCCACTTCCTATAGAATTGGCACCATCTTTACCTCAGTCCTTGTTTGCTACACCAGTTCTGTGGTCTCTCCGAAACCAATTTCTAATCCCTCCTAACTATTCACCTTCACACTGCCAAACTAGCCTTCCTGGAACATTATTTTCATCATGCTCCTTCCCTACCCACAAAACAAGCTCCTTATTATTTATAGAAGAGTTCTTTGACAGTTTCAGTTTGAAAACCCTTTCTTCATGTAACATATTACAGAGAAACCCCAATCAATACAATAGGGGGGGGGGGGGCACAGACAAGGGGCCTGCCATCTCAGGCTACCTTATCTCCCCAATGCACTCAGCCATGAGAAGCCTTTGTGGAACTCTAGGCCCTTCTTATTCTGGTAGGAAAACCACTGACCTAAGGTATCAAGTCAAGATGTCTCTGTCCGGCTGGTAAGGACCTCTAACTCCCCCAGCAGGTTTCCGTTCCGTCCTCACCAGATCCCTGTCTATGCCAGTCGGCTTGCTCTGTCCTCCATATTTCTTCCTCATCCTTGTTATTCTTTATTTCCCCCGCCAGAAATGTTCTCCTCTTCCCCTCCACTTACAAAGCCTTCACGTATTTAAATCACACCTTACTTCTTTTTTATGAAGGTTTTCCTGCTTCTACCCCATTCTACATTGATTTCTCCCACCTTTGAATGTCTCTTGCATTTGAAGTCAGCAGCAAATTATCTACCTTAAGTAATTGATCCAAGCTTTGTCTCTCACCTGTACTGTGAGAGGGGCTCCATACTTCCTCCATGGGCCCAACTCATCTCAGCCCATGGTTGGCCTGAGCGCCGCTGCTCCAGGGGTAGGTATCAATGGCTGCTGGAGAGCCCAGCATCTTCCATGAACCAAGCTTACCCTTTACCTCCAGCCTTTCTTAAGTCCTAGACTCTCCCATGGTATGTAGTTACCAAGATCTGACATCAGAAAAACAGAAAATAAAATAAAAGAGTGTATTTATAGAGTGTTTTATCTCTTAAGGATCCTAATGATCTCTACTAAGTCTAGTCATTCCTTGTCTACATTTATATGAGGCAGGAAATGACTGATGGATTCCCAAACATCTCTAAGAACATCTCTCAGAACATGTAACCATTTTTATAAAGTGGGTACTTTCTAAATCTGCTTTTGTTTTTAAAATTGACCGAGTTACACACATTGTTTTAGACTTACCTACAGGCCATTACTACAGAAATCAGCAGATCAAAAGCAGCTGTTTTGTTCTTGCCACACTTGATGTGTGTTTCATCTCTCCATTCCCTCCCCTCCTCCCCTCTTTTTTCTACTTCCTCTCATTCTCTCTCTTTTTGCTCCATTCAGGTTACCATGATGGGCATCTTGTGATCCGCTGGTTCTGGGCCGCGGTGGAACACTTCAATAATGAGCAGAGGTTAAGATTACTTCAGTTCGTCACAGGAACATCAAGTGTGCCCTATGAAGGCTTCGCGGCCCTTCGAGGAAGCAATGGGCTGCGGCGTTTCTGCATAGAGAAATGGGGGAAAATTACATCTCTACCCAGGTATGAGGCTTTTGCCAACTTCAGGAAACCTGCTAAAGAGAGCAAAGTATACTTTTTTATTTGAGCTTGGGTGATCATCCTTTAGCATAGAATTCTTTTCTGGAATGCTAAGTATTGTTATATGAATTACTAGAGGCCCGGTGCACAGATTCATGCACTGGTAGGGTCCCTCGGCCTGGCCTCCAGGTATCAGGCCGAAACCGGCTCTCTGACATCCCCCGAGGGGTCCTGGATTGTGAGAGGGCAGTTCTCCAGTGACGCACCCCAGAATGTCAATTACTAGAGGCCCGGTGCACAGATTCATGCACTGGTAGGGTCCCTCGGCCTGGCCTCCGGGTATCAGGCCAAAACCGGCTCTCTGACATCCCCCGAGGGGTCCTGGATTGTGAGAGGGCAGTTCTCCGGTGACGCACCCCAGAATATCGGGCTCCCTCCTCTCTGGTTTGCATCACCCGAGAACTGCAGCTGCCAAGTCACTGCAGCTCGGCAGGTCCTGCGTTGAGCATCTGCCCCCTGGTCAGTGTACATCATAGCTACCAGTCAGAGCGTCTGCCCCCTGGTGGTCATTGCACATCATAGCTTCCGGTCTGATGGTCAGATGGTCACTTAAGCTTTTATATATATACTAGAGGCCTGGTGCACAAAATTCGTGCATGGGGGGGTCCCCTCAACCCAGCCTGCACCCTCTCCAATCTGAGACCCCTCGGATCAGGCCTAAACCGGCAGTCAGACATCCTTCTCACAATCCGGGACTGCTGGCTCCTAACTGCTCACCTGCCTGCCTGCCTGCCTGATCGCCCCCAACTGCCCCCCCCCGCCCCCGCCAGCCTGGTTGCCTCACACAGCCTGCTGCTCAGTCGTTTGGTCGTCCCTCACTAACCCCCCTGCTGGCCTGGTCGCCCCATGCAGCCTGCTGTTTGGTCGTCTGTCCAGTTGTTTCAGTTGTGACAGCCCCTGACTTTTTATATATTAGGATTGAAGATTAGTGAAAGGTGTAGGTAAGAAGTCTCTGGGAGGTTAATTTAGACCATATTCTTAATGATTTTTTAATGATTGATGGTATTTGGGCTATAATATCATGGTCCATGTATCAGTTGTGGGAAACTTTACAATCTGTGTGTAGCCCAATCAATTTAAAGAGGAATGTCTCCCCCTGGCAAGGTTGCAGGCTCAATTTCCAATAAGGGACATGCAGGAGGCAGCCCATTGATGTTTCTGTCTCTTTCACCCTCTCCCTTCCTCTCTCTCTCTAAAAGCAATGTAAACCTTTTTTTAAAAAAGAGGAATGTCTTACCTGTTGGCAAGGGGTGTGGGGGAGAAGAGGCTAGAAACTCTCTCTAAAATCAATGAAAACATATTTTTTTAAAAAAGAGGAATGTCTTACCTGTTGGTAAGGGGTGTGGGGGAGAAGAGGCTAGAAGCCCAAAGTTACTCTTCCCAGCTCTGTGTATGTACTTCACAACGTATCACTTGATATCCTCTGTAGGGTAGTTGCTCAAATGTTGCAAATTTTTTTACTATGCTTTAAGACATGTGAGGATAGGACCACATATATCTCAGGTCTCTACAGTGACTTCTGTACAGTAAGATATTGTGGGCCTTGGCTAAGTGGCTCCAAGTTGCCTCTGTAGGGTAGTTGCTCAAATGTTGCAAATTTTTTTTACTATGCTTTAAGACATGTGAGGACAGGACCACATATATCTCAGGTCTCTACAGTGACTTCTATTCAGTAAGATATTGTGGGCCTTGGCTGAGTGGCTCAAAGTTGATTGGAGCATCCTCCCATACACCAAAAGGATTCCCAGTCTGGGTTCAATCCCCAATAGGAGCTTTTACGGGAGGCAACCAATATCTCTCTCTCTCTCTCTCTCTCTCTCTCTCCCTCTCTCTCTCTCTCTCAAATCAATAAAACATCTTCAAGTGAGGATTTTTTTAAAAGATATTGAGGAACTTATTGTGAGGTCTCTCTCTCTCTCTCTCTCTCTCCCTTCTCTCTTTCTCTCTCTCTCTCAAATCAATAAAACATATCTTCAAGTGAGGATTTTTTTTAAAAGATATTGAGGACTTATTGTGAGATAAATGCAGAAAGGGAGGTTCTAAGGATCCAGGTAATTTAACAGAATGAATTTCTTTTAACATGAGTTTTAATCCCAACACTTCCTGGGTCTTTTCTATGCCACATTGAGTAGCATAAACCTGGTCAGTGAAATAAGAAGCAGTAAAAAGATACTTCTGTATAGGTACTATTATAATAAATACTGCCCAACAAACAGAAGAGAAGATTGATCCATATTATTTTCTTGTACTGATATTTTCTAATCATTAAAGAAGATTCACATTAAAGTCAGCTCTATTTCTACATGGCCTCCCAAAATACCTTTGCTGAGTTCCTGTTATGGAAGGATTTACTAAACTATTATTTTCATAGCCTTCTCAGATTTGACATTCCCAGAATGTCCTGAAGACAATTCTGCAATTTCCATGTATTAGGAGGCCCAGAAAATAGGATTCATACCTAGCTGAGTAATAACAGCTTAAAGCTTTGGTGCAGTGTTCATCCCTGGATTTACCCACAGAGTTCAGCAGACCCTCACTTTTCATTTGCATGGTTCTGCTGATAGTTGGACCTACTGAATTAAGTCTGGCAAGAAAATAAGCCCAAAAGGGCAAGATTTCCATTTGTCTATTTTAATAATATATTTGTAGGCTGCAGTCATCAGGAAACATTCTGCTATGGTTTTAGAGAAATGAGATTGAGTCACCATTTGTCGATAGCTTACCCCTATAATGCACCTTGAGGAGGGCTGAGATACAAGGTACCTGCCCAGAGGGGCTTACAGTCTAGGGAGGAAAAGAGCCTGATAGTAAGACATCATAATACAAGGTAGAATCAGAGGGGCAGTAAGAAGGAAAAGTAAAAGCAAGTAGAACAAAGAACTAACCCTGATTGAGACCAAAGGAGATGTCACACAAAAAGCTGGCATTGAGGTGAGCACTGTGGGGCAGTGAATGGGTGGAGAGCAATTCCCGGCTGAAGCAGCAGCATGAGCGAGGCCTGGGGGTGGGAAATGGCCAGATTGTGTTCAGACGTTTTTAGGTTACAAACTGAAATTTATTTAAGGGAGTTCATCAAGGCTGTAGATAAAAGTAATTTTTGAAGAAATTCTGGGTGTTCAGACAGGGTGTTGAAGAGGTGCCATTGGCGACTGCTTTCAGTTTACTCCCAGAAATTATCTTTGACCAAATCAATGTATTTTGTAAATATGGGATATTTTTCTCTATAATATTTTCACTCATGAGTGACAGTTAGAAGGATCAGAGAAAGAAAACCAAGAAGGTTATGCCTGCTCATATCTTGCTCTAGGCTAATTCAGCAAGTTCTGAACGCACACTGGGATGTTTCTGCCCCACTTACTTTAGTTAGGCATAGCCCCAAGTATGTCCTAGTTTCAATCTTTGTAAAGATAGAGAAGAACCACTGTAACTGTTACCCTACTCAATTTACAGAGTACTCTTCCACTTCTACTCAAACACATAAGTTTGGGTAAAATATTTTCTTTAGAAGTCAATTTAGGCCTGTTTGAATCTTAGTTAATAATATGAGACTCTGCTAATCTTGGCCTATTTTTATGTTCCTTCCCAGTTAAATCCTTAAGGTCATATACCCTATTATCCTGTGCCCACACTGGGTTTCCCAAGGCCAATGAGAAAGCTGTTATCAAAAGAAGGAAGAATGGATGCAGGGGGGCAAAAACAACAACATTCTCCCCAATTCTCCTTGTGCAGGAAAACCACCTTCCCGCTCCCCTCTTCCCACCTTCCCTCTCCCCTTTTCCCACCTTCCCTCTCCCCTCTTCCCACCCTCCCTCTCCCCTCTTCCCACCTTCCCTCTCCCCTCTTCTCACCTTCCCTCTCCCCCTTTCCCACCTTCCCTCTCCCCTCTTCTCACCTTCCCTCTCCCCTCTTCTCACCTTCCCTCTCCCCCAAACAATCTTCCCCATTCCTGGAGCACTGCAGCAGCCTGATCACTGGGACTCTGAAAACAAAGTTATAAATAATACACAACTCCCCTGGGGATCTTGTCATTTAAATGAAGAGTTTAATATCCCAAAAAAAATTCTTATGAAGGAAAAATGTTATTTTTTGGTTAGGATTTTGTTTAGTTTTGTTTATATGTATGTTTGTTTTGTGACTTTTAAAATTATTTTATTGTTATTTTATGTTATTACTAGAGGCCCGGTGCACAAAATTCATGCACAGGAGTGGGGGAGGTTTCCCTCAACCCTGCCTGCACCCTCTCCAATCCAGGACTCCTCGGGGGATGTCCGACTACCGGCAATCCGGGACCACTTGCAATCCAGGACCACTAGTCCTAACCACTCACCTGCCTGCCTGCCTGATCGCCCCTAACTGCTCTCTTCTACTGGCCTGATCTCCCCCTAACTGCTCTCCCCTGCTGGCCTGATCGCCCCTAACCGCCTCTGCCTCAGCCCCCGCCAACATGGCTCTGTCCAGAAGGATGTCTGGAAGATGTCTGGTCTAATTAGCATATTACCCTTTTTTTAGTATAGATTTTATTTTATAGTACCCTTTTCTGTGCTGGTTGGCTTCTCAAAACACCATTTCAAATTACCACCCCTTCTAGGGAGGAAAAGGCATTCAATTAACCTTCAGCTGCACCCATCTACCTTTCTTCCTACTTTGGTATAGGATGTGGCATCAACCAAGGTTTCTAAAAAAACAAAGAGCTTCTGATAGGGTGCGGCCAGCCAGGCCCATTTGAAGTTCCATAGGAGGATTCTGTGTGGCCTGGGCTTCTAAGGCCTGCACAGGTGACATGGGTCTGTTCCTGGTCCATATGTCAGCACATGGCAGGGAAGCCATTTCTTATCTAGGCCAGATACTGACATGTGTGAGTCTGCAGGATAAAGCACATGGCAAGTAAAGCAGAAACCAGGGAAGGTAGCAAGGGACACTCTAGGCAACCAGGGAGGACTATCCCACAAGCTCAGCTGTTCTTAGAAATGCAGACTATCTGTCCCACCGGGAACTGTAGAGAAGCTGGACTGTCTCCAGGGCACACCTGACCTGAAAGAGCATTGTATCTCAGAATTCCAAGCCATCTGTTGGCGTCTCTAAATCTACGTACATGGTTTACTAAGACCCAGAAGTCAGAGGTGGGCAAGGAGGCTTGGGAATATGACCCTCCAATACTAATTACATTTCTGCCTCCTTCACTAACCACACTCATTTTCACACCTTAACTGCCAAAGAAAACTGACACCGTTGGTCTGCTAGTGTAGTTCTAGTTCAGTGTGGTTTGCTAACAAATGCAAACCACCTGTTTCTAGTTAGTCCACTTCCTCAACTCGTCTATTCAAGTCTAGATGGCTATGTTTCTTAGTTCTCAGTGTTTTATGGTGGTTCTGCTAATTTCTGAATCACTGCTTCAGACTGCTCAGAGATGTATCCTAACCAGTTATATCACTGAAACAAGCACCTTCACCAATCTTTTCTCCCCCATTCAGGGCGCACACATGCTTCAACAGATTGGATCTTCCACCTTATCCCTCATACTCCATGTTGTATGAAAAGCTGTTAACAGCAGTAGAGATCCGGCCCGCGGGCCATAGTTTGCCCACGGCTGGTATAGGATGTAGCATCAACCAAGGTTTCTAAAAAAAAAACAAAGAACTTCTGATAGGATGCGGCCAGTCAGGCCCATTTGAAGTTCCATAGGAGGATTCTGTGTGGCCTGGGCTTCTAAGGCCTGCACAGGTGACATGGGTCTGTTCCTGGTCCATATGTCAGCACATGGCAGGGAAGCCATTTCTTATCTAGGCCAGATACTGACATGTGTGAGTCTGCAGGATAAAGCACATGGCAAGTAAAGCAGAAACCAGGGAAGGTAGCAAGGGACACTCTAGGCAACCAGGGAGGACTATCCCACAAGCTCAGCTGTTCTTAGAAATGCAGACTATCTGTCCCACCGGGAACTGTAGAGAAGCTGGACTGTCTCCAGGGCACACCTGACCTGAAAGAGCATTGTATCTCAGAATTCCAAGCCATCTGTTGGCGTCTCTAAATCTACGTACATGGTTTACTAAGACCCAGAAGTCAGAGGTGGGCAAGGAGGCTTGGGAATATGACCCTCCAATACTAATTACATTTCTGCCTCCTTCACTAACCACACTCATTTTCACACCTTAACTGCAAAAGAAAACTGATACCATTGGTTTGCTAGTGTAGTTCTAGTTCAGTGTGGTTTGCTAACAAATGCAAACCACCTGTTTCTAGTTAGTCCACTTCCTCAACTCGTCTATTCAAGTCTAGATGGCTATGTTTCTTAGTTCTCAGTGTTTTATGGTGGTTCTGCTAATTTCTGAATCACTGCTTCAGACTGCTCAGAGATGTATCCTAACCAGTTATATCACTGAAACAAGCACCTTCACCAATCTTTTCTCCCCCATTCAGGGCGCACACATGCTTCAACAGATTGGATCTTCCACCTTATCCCTCATACTCCATGTTGTATGAAAAGCTGTTAACAGCAGTAGAAGAAACTAGCACTTTTGGACTTGAATAAAGAAATGGAATCTCGCCTGACATTTTCCTGGACAGTGACACCACCCTTTCTGGAAAAATCCCCCTTTCCTTTTCCCTTTCCCTGAATCAACTCTTCTTTGATGTTGGTACTTCATGATTTTTATTTTCAAACCAAATCAGAATGGACAAAAGCTGTGCATGAAGAACTGCCTTCTTCTAAGATATAACCTTCAGGCTTATCTCCTCTATTTTCAATGAACTGCTAGCCTGTATGCAATATTAAAAAACAGCTGTCTCAAGATCTGTGTATATCTCCACATACCTCCATTACTAACAATGAAATATGAATGCTAGTTATGCTACACTTGACCAAATAGTAATAAATGTTTACTTCCATTTATATAATTTAAGGGAAAATTGTAAGCATTAAGCATTCCAAGCTTTTATATGCCCATGTCTTCTGAGCAGAGCCACCTTTTTTTTAATATATAATTTCTAACAACCAACTCTAAAACTAGGAGTTGATCAACTCTTTCTTTCCCTCCACTCTACTTTTCCCTGTGCATATATCCATGCAAAAGCAGCAGTAGAAAACCCAAAATTTTTTATTACATTCAACTCATAATTTATATGTGGCATCAGTCCCATCAGCTGGAACTAGCCTAAACATATGGTGCAAATATGACACTTTCCAACAAATAATAACAGCGAGATAAACACCTTTACTGATGCAACACAATGCATCCCAATGGTTGTGGGGATTGTGGCTCAATTTCAGCTTAGAGAAATCTAAGCGGGACACACCCTTCAGGAACATTCACCACACAAGAAGCACAAACTCGTGCACATGTCCAAGAAGGATATCTCATTATGTAGTTAATATAAACGACAAGGCTTCTGCCCCCATTGTGTTATATACAATGTGATGAAGCAAACAGGAAAAAGAGAAGGGGGACATAGTAGGTTGGTTTAAATACCTGAGTGCTGTACTGTTTTGTTCTGTTTCGCTACAGTTCTCCCACACAAAGGGGAAAAAATGCATAGATAATCTCATGACTTCTGTTAAAGCCAGGTAATTACTTGTACGGCAAACAAATTTTTATGTTATATTGATTTTTCATGCTGTTTTCTTAATTATGGCATTCAAATTCCTTCACATCTGATTGTCCACAGGGACCACACTAAATAAGAAGCTGCAGATAGCGATGGTGCTTGTTAGGGGTCAAGGGCAGTATAGTGCTTTTTCATTCATAGCAATCCTCCCAGAGCAGAGCCCTAACACCTCAAAGGCATGTTGATTTGTGTCAAAATAGATATTAGTTTCTTTTAGCATTCAGTAAAGAGATAACACAGAAAACTTAGTGTTTCCAGAAAAACAACTGCAAGCTCCAAAGACATTCTAAACCCAGGCATAATGGCCCTTTGCTATTTTTCTAACCTTGTTATCCATGTTGTCTGAAATATGTCACACATAAAAAGTGTTTTTCTTCACTGGGAAAAGAAGAGCTGAAAGGGCCCCGCTGTTGAAATGTCACATTTTTGTTTTATTAATACAGGAAACGAAGAAAAACTGGTGAGAAACATAAGACAAAGTTAATTTCCTATGAAGCCAAGCCTTGTTCTCATTACATTAGTCTGTGTTTGGACATGCATTGTGTACCTTGCACTCCAATATGAAACATTCTTTTAGTAGGGATTATTTACAATGCCCAGCACCCCTTGCTGCAGTGTACTTTTTGTCAATCAGGGAATATATATGTTATAGAAATTTAGCTTTCAGTTGTTGTCTAGAAACAAGATTTCCCAAGATAGAATTGAATGTGTAAGTTACATAATATGGAATTTGGGAACCTATAAAATTCAGTATACATTTCAATATCTGAAAAATTGTCAATTCCAATGGAGCTATTATTTATTTATGAAATCAGAACATAAGGATTATGCTGATCATTTCACAATTCTAATGCTTTAATACATACCAGGATAAAACTACTGCTGCCGTTCTCTTTTAATACATAACCATATGTCCTTTAACAATAAGTTATTTTGTGCGAGCCAATGAGCTGGGCCTTCTAGTGTAGGAGGCATCTATTATTTTTAGAACTTGGTGTTACATGTATGTAAATACTCATTAATTCAAGCAATCAATTCTCTTTTTAGTACTTATATTATTTGTTAGGCATTGGCAAGAGAGAAAGCTGTTAAAAATGGAACCTGTTTTATAATTTGTACAAATATCTAATTAATCTATTGATTAGATTAATTAATATCTATTCCACCCATATGCAAAAGGAAAAAGATATTCTAGAAATTATATATAGATAGATAACTTCGTCATAAATGGGTTTTTTTACCTACCCCTGCCCCCAATGCCATGACTCTAGATGTATCTCAAAAAGCATTACAGGAACAGTGTTTCATAAAAGTATAAAGTCTCAAAAAACCCTGTTGTCAAAGTCAGCTGAAAGAATGCATAGCTTGCTTAACAGGGTCCCAGATTCCATTAAAGCCTTTGATAGACTCCTTAAGGAAGAAAAACAAAGAGAAAAGGAATACAGATAATTGTTACAGAAAGATCCTTTTTATTTTTTTCTATGTTCTGAAAGATGTTTTCTTAGTTAATATTCCCTCATACATGAGGCTGATTTTTTAATTATGTATAATTCTTCATTATATATAATAAAATAGCTATAGGACTAAATTATGCTATTAATTTCACAGATGGAGATGTAAACCACCCAAGTTATATAATTTAATGGGCAAGGCAGATCTATTTGTTACCACTTGTATTTTTTTTCATTTAAAGTATGAGTTTTCTCTATGACATATTATAAAATTAATCACTTATAAACAGCATTTTCTCTAAAACAAGATCTTTTAGAGCTAGTTTTAGTAAAGTATATTACCCTTAATTGAGGGATAAACAAGAACAATACAAAAGAGAAAGACATGTTACAATTGGAAAAAATGCTTTTGAAATGCTATAAAGTATTATTAATTTCATGGATATCACATTTTATTCTGTCATATGAAGACAATAATCTTAAAAATAGAAAATTGACTCTGTAGGATCAGAAGTATTCTAAATATCCTGAGTTCTTTGTAACTTCCTGCATATATAAGTTGAGAAAAAATTTTGACCATCACTATTGTAGCACAATTTTTTGAATGGCAATGCAAAATTAAGAAAGATATATATTTTTGGCAGGCTTTAAATATGACAAAAGTCTAAATGTGTTCTCCTTTAACATATGTCCCTATGTCCTTTCACAGTAAGTGTATTTTTGTGCAAGTCAATGAACTGGACTTTCCAGGACATTTAAATATTACATTGATGACATTGTCAGTCCATGTGTCAAACCGTGTGTCCAAATTTTGGGTTCAGAAAATTTCTCAGTTGCCACAAATGTTTTCAAAGTCAAGATGAAACACTTTCAAATGAAACTAGTTAGACTTTCACATAACAAATGTGGTGAGAAAAAAATAGATGCCAACAGGTAGACTATAGAGTAAATGTCAGTCCATCAGCCTACTTCCTGCAGCTTCTGAATTATCTAAGGAAATACCTATAACAATTTTGCTAAAAGTCTTTGTTCTAGTCAATAGCAGGAGAAGTCCACATTATTGGGCTGATTTTGCTTCCATTGACAAGAGAAATGTCACGTGATACTCAGGCCAAGCTTTCTCTTCCCTCATATCACCTTCAAGGAATGTCAATAAACTCACTTTGGTATGGCATTGTCTGTGTTCCTTATTGCAAATGGAAGTCTAGGTAATGCATAACTATTTGTATTATGCCTGTTCTCTTGTTGGAGATAAGCAACAGAACACCACAGAAGTCTACCAGCTGCTATTATAAACAATCCATGGAAAAATTATTTATCAAGAAAACATAATATGTGCTCACAAATCCTTGAATAAAGGAACAGCTTTCATAACAAATTCCTTCTGTATGCCTATCAGAACTGCACATAAACCACATGGGCTTCATTTTATGTGTTTCCTTTATGTTGAGCCAGGCATACATGGGCTTTTTGAATTCATACCTGTTGAGATATTTTTACAAAGGCTTCAGGACACAGACTCTTGGACAAGGGTTAGCAGTAGGCAAAAATGCTGTGTCCAATGTCATATATGATAACTTCCAATATCACAATGATATTACCTCTTTCCAAGCCTTGAACAGACAAACTGTGTGGCTTTCATGGTGGTCAAAAGCTGAGTTAGTTTGGTGGGAAAAAACATGTTACTAGAAAAAAAAAGTGTGGGTAGGATTGAGAAAAGGAAAAACCTACACTACTGGGTTTACTTTAGACTCATTATAACTGAAAATAGCTCTTCTCTTACCCTGGCCAGATGGCTCAGCTGGTGGGAGCCTCATCCCCTATACCAGAAAGCGGTGGGTTCAATTCCTGGTCCCAACACATACCTAGGTTGTGGGTTTAATCCCCAGTTGGAACGCATATGAGAGGCAACTGATCAATGTTTTTCTCTCAAATCAGTGTTTCTCTTTCTCTCTCTCCATCCCTGCCTTTGTCTCTAAAAATCAATAAAAAGATATCCTTGGGTTAGGATTTAAAAAAGAAAAGAACTCTTCTTTTGGAGTACAAGGAAAAAATTAGCCTAACCCATCATTTGCAGAAAGGAATAGATGATATTACTTTGTGTTTTAATTTAAGCATTATTCTGAAATCAAGATTAGATTTCAGATCTTCTGATATATATGGCCACACTTTTCCAATACACTGTGCTGACAACTCATTAATTATATACTGTTAAAAATGATCCATTACTTATATGCATATATGCATAACCCATGGACACAGACAATTGTGAGGTGAAAACCTGGGGGTGGAGAGAAGATGGGGCGGAGGGAGTCAATGAGGAAAAATGGGGATATATGCAATACTTTCAACAATAAAGATACTTTTTTTTTAATGACAGATAGAGCCTGGCTGGCATGGCTCTGCAGCGGAGTGTCGACCTATGAACCTGGAGATCACAGTTCGATTCCAGGTCAGGGCACATGTCCAGGTTGTGGGTTTGATCCCCAGTGTAGGGCATGCATGAGGCAGCCGATCCATGATTCTCTTTCATCATTGATGTTTCTACCTCTCTCTCCCTCTCCCTTCCTCTCTGAAATCAATAAAAAATATATATTCTTTTAAATGACAGATAGAGCTTATATTCAAGATGTGGTATAATATATTTGTAAAAGTTGGTTCAATAAAAAATAAATGAAGGGAGTTATAGAAGATCAGGCTAACCTTTATCAGTGCTGCAGGAATCATCACGTTTATAACTAGAAAGAGACACTTAGTTACTTTTGTATGACTAGTTTATTCTGGATATGAGGAATCTGAGGCCAGGAAAGGTGATTTGCTCAAAGCCACTAAGCTTTATCTTGGGTGCCAAAGGTATGCCCTCTCACAGAATATCCTTTGGGGTCCTGGGCTCTTGGACTGGGCATAACCATTAGGAAGTTTTCCAGGAGGGTAGAAGAAATGGAGGTCGAGATGGACCTGGCATATCACAAGAAATGCCATGAATCCACAGCCAGTGTGTACTCATCAAAGAAAGATGTGGACTGCTTACTACTCTCGCCCCTCTATATGCGTTTTCTGGGTCCTTTGTAGCAAAGGACCGCAAACTGGGTGGCTCAAAGAAGGCTAGAAGAACAAGATCAAGATGATGGTACAGCCCTAACCGATTTGGCTCAGTGGATAGAGCGTTGGCCTGTGGACTGAAGGGTCCCAGGTTCGATTCCGGCCAAGGGCATGTACCTTGGTTGTGGGCACATCCCCAGTGGGAGGTGTGCAGGAGGCAGCTGATCAATGTTTCTCTCTCATCGATGTTTCTAGCTCTCTATCCCTCTCCCTTCCTCTCTGTAAAAAATCAATAAAATATTTTTTTTAAAAAAAAAGATGATGGTACACTTGGTTCCTTCCAAGGGCGGTGAGAGATAATTTGTTCTAATTTGTTCTATTTCTCTCACCTACCTTCTAATAAAAAATCAATAAAATATATATATTTTAAAAAAAGATGATGGTTCCTTCCGAGGGCGGTGAGAGATAATTTGTTCTATTCCTCTCTCCTATCTTCTAACCTTTGGTATTCCTTTACTTTCTTTTTATTTTTTTCCACCACCATTTACCCCCTATATGCCCTCTTCCACCCCCCCCCACCACTCTCACCCCCCACAATCACCACACTGTTGTCCATGTCCATGAGTTCTATTTTTTTTTCTTTTTTGCTCAATCCCTCCACTCCCCACAACACACCAGAGCTGTCTGCCTGCTCTCTATCTATGAGTCTGTATTTTTTTTGCTTGGTGTTTCAGTTTGTTCATTAAATTCCACCTGAGTGAAATCATATGGTACTTGTCTTTCTCTGACTGGCTTATTTCACTTAGCATACTGTTCTCCGGGTTCAACCATGCTGTTGCAGAGGGTACGATTTTCTTCCTTTTTACCACCGAGTAGTATTCCATTGTGTAAATGTGCCACAGCTCTTTTATTCACTCATCTATTGATGAACTCTTGGGCTGCTTCCAAATCTTGGCTATTGTAAATAATGCTGCAGTGAACTTAAGGGTACATACCATCTTTTGAATTAGTGTTTTGGGTTTCTCTGGATAAATTCCCAGAAGTGGGAAAGTTGGGTCATCAGGCAGCTCCATTTTTAAATTTTTGCGGTAACTCCATACTGTCAAGCTGAGGCATCTCCTGCCTCTGTGAGGAGCCGGGCTCTTCCTCGAGTCAGAAAAACGGGAATCGGGAGGACATAAGTTCATAATATCATTCATCTTTATTATTTCACTCAGCAGAGTATATTTGCATACACGTATTCCAGAATTTGTCGTAATAAGAGTTATGCAGGATACAAAATTATTAATGGTGATAGTCCATGCTCTTATAAATGGGTCAGTCTTGAAGGTAAGCTGATATTTTCAAAAACAAAAACAAAGGCTGGTGATATAGATCCTGTCCCCAAAGTATCTCTAAAGTGGTTAATATTGAAAACATCTGGCCCTACATCTACTGAAAGAAGATTCTATAGTTCTTGCTTCATACAGCGCCTCCATCATGCAGCTCTCAATTTTAACTGCTCACCTGTGAGTAGAACATCACCAGCTTGGAACCCAGTGGCAACCTGAAGTGCGGAGACTGCGTGAGAATGAAGCTGGACCGTGGCCACGGCACCTGCCTCAGACGGCCTGCCCCCGGACATGAGACACCATAAGCCCCTAATGTGTTTACACCATAATTATGTGAGTTGTCTGGTTATAACCTAATTCCTAACCCTCAAGATAAAGAAGGGAGAAAAGTGCAAAAGAGTTTTCAATAACCTTTTCTAGAGGAAGTCTAGAATTACACTTAAAATTTAAAAATTTTGCAAAGTTGTCTAATCTTGGCAATTTTACTGATTTTTGTTCTAGTCTACTTCACTGCGATGATTTAACAATAGTCACTTGAAACCTCACGGTCTTGTTCATTTCCTCAGGGACAACAAAGAAGGGGTGACTGGGTCCCTTTGCATTCAGACTAGAAATGGAGAGGACACAAAGGAATAGCCACCACACTAGGAAAGGACAGCTCAGCGGCCAGCGGGCCTGGCAGGCACGGGGTGGCCCACAGGAGTCCAGCTGCACCTCCCTGCCACGCCCAGGACTTGCTGGACATCGCCTCGCTCTCATGTATCCGGACACCCTGATTCTTTGTAACAATATGTATTCTGGCCACAGGCTGGCCTTCGCCTTGGTCCTGACTCCGATCTACCCGCAAAGGTAAGGTAATTCTTGTGACTTGATTCTGACCCGTTTTCCCTACCTTATTTTTTCTTGCTCCTTTGTAATCTACTACCTGCCCCAACCTGAAAATTTATTGACCTCAAAGAGCCGAAGCATCACAAGGTGAGAGGCCTTGATTTCTCAAGCCCTTAAAAGTCAGGAACCCACTTCCCATCCACCAGTCTTCCTATACCCCCAACCTGAGTGCGTCTCTAACTTAAAGAGACCCCAGGCACTTCAGCCACCTATTAAAAGAAACTTTTTACTTGCTTTAGGAATTCTTTTCCGGGATATTGCCTTTCCTGGGCATCTTTCGTTATTTTGCTGACATTCTCATCACAGGAAGATCTGTGCTTACGTTTACGTATCAGCTCATTGGCCATTTTCAAAAGATCTGTTACCTGGTCTTCCATAGCTTGGCCGGTTTCTTTGTTATTAAAAGCACAAACTCGCTCCCCACACTTTTTAATGGTTTCCTTAAGAAATGTGTTATCTGTGTTTTTGCAGTAATCTCTAATGTCCTCGGCCCCCAGGTCTTCCTTCCAGGTGAAAAGCACAATCATGCATTCCATAACATCCTTTCCGAAGATGGTCCTCAGTGTCTCCACCACCTCTTTGTCCTGGGCCGTGAACCGTCCCACCTTGAGTACCAGGACCAGAACCGTGTTCATTTTACAGCTAAATACATTGCGTCGGAGCTCCTCTCGGTGGGCTGGCTGGCTGGACAGCAGGCAGAGGTCAGGAGTATCCACCACCACGACATCCTGCTCCAACCCCATCCTCTTGCCCATCTGGCACTCCCTGGTGACCGGCTGGGCCCGGAGCTGAGATAAGAAGATGGACCTCCCGAGGATGGAGTTCCCGGTGGCACTCTTCCCAGTCCCGCTCCGCCCCACGAGGACAATGTGCAGGGCCTCTGTGGGAGGAAAGCAGGACAGAGTCATGACCCGGGCTGACCTGGGTGCACCTTTCAAAGCGATGCCACACATTGCAGCCCAGGACACTCAGGGAGCGTCAGGGCTGCTTTCCCAGAGCAGCTCCAGCCCTGAGCGCGGGATGGCTTCCTCCAGGCACACAGTGAACTCCGAAGCAGGACCTGGGCCACAGTCCCTGCCCCACGCTCACCCGGGGACATGCTACTGCTCCTATCTCTCAATCTGCTCCTTTTTCGGGTAACTTCTCTGACTCCCTGGCACCTGTGAGTGCTTTGTTACTCTTCACCTACTCACCTGGGTCCAGTCTACTCATCTCATCTCTGTCTTCTGTTCCTGCTGTGACTATGTCTTCCCACTGCCGACTAATGCCAACCATAGCAAAATCTCCTGGGTGTATTTGTAAAATTATTCCATAGAATTACTTTTTGTGAGAAAGCAACTACATGTACCATCTGTGGATTACCAGATGCAGCACTTCTCATTACAACCACATTCAGCTTAACTGTGTCTTTCATTGATGTCAAAAGGCATCTCGTGGTTATAATAACCTTTTCCCCAAGCTATGAATATCCACCTCAAAACAAGGAGAAAGGAAGCCCACCCCATGCTCTCCCGACAAGGGGAAATTATTGAATTGCTTATTCCAAAGCCACAATCTTATGCTTACAGGATGAATAAAGTCTCCCAACAACCCCATATCTGTCACATATTTCAATCCTGCTTCCATACCTCAGGGGTGTGGTTCTCAAGGGCCTCTGTAAGCTCACAATCCCACTTTATCTAGAGGTGTGACTCCTCCATATCCATCAAAACCACTTCCTGATGTTCCCTCACACGTGACATGCTTAGTCCTACCTCTTCGTTTCAAATTGCTAGTGTACTCTCTGGAATGTCTTCCAAGTTTCTGCTTAGCCATCCAAACTCAACCCATTCTCCAAAGCCCATTTCAAATTGGGCTTCCTCCACACAGCCTCTCCTGACATTCCCACATGTCTGTATCATATATATATATATATATATATACATATACACACACACACTAATAAAATACAAAGATGCTACTTAACCGTACCTTTGCTATGCCCTAAGCCACGCCCACCAGCCAATCAGAGCGACTATATGCAAATTAACCCAACCA